TCTTTGCCAGGTTTAATTTCAGCCTGCTCAGTCTGAGCCACCCAGCCACGGCTTGTAAAGCCCGGTGCAGATCTTCTGGGTTGGAGTCCGAGTTGGAGTTATATCTGGAATTCAGAAATTTTCAGATCCCTTATTTCCTAACTTGTACTCTTTCCACAGAGATTAGAAGGGCTGTTGTTTAAGAAAATGCCGCCAAAATTTCAGGAAACCTAGCCTTGCCTGTTCACATGGTTTCCTAACAACCTGTCACAGCCCAGGGCTCCATACCCCAGTGGACAAGAGGTGGAGCATAGGCACAGCCCTAAAGAGGGCACCAGCCCAGGTTGCAGAGAAAAGAGCAGGGTGGAGCAGCAACAGCAAGGATGACACTGTCTGAAGGGAAGCCAACCAGTATTCACACCTTGTGGAGCAGAGGACTTCTCAGTTGTAAATGCCTCCTCAAGAGGAAGCTTCCTCAAGGGAAATAGGAACTAGGAGTGGCCAGGGGAAGAAGGATAAAAAAGCCCCCAGCTGATGGAGGTAAGGGAGCAGGCTGGGACTATGGACAGGGAGTCTCTGGGCCTTTACAGACAGGAAGGTGTCATGTCTCCTGCAGTGTCAGAAGCTGGCATTCTTAGCCTCAAGGGCAGCTAGTAAGAACTTTTCACACGTGGTGCAGACAGATGGACTATCCCTTGGCTTAACCCTAGAGGAAGGGTGCAGCAGCTGGGGTAGGAGTGACTGGACCTGGAAGAAGGACCCAGGTGGGGAGAGCAGCTCTGGCAGTGTGGTCTAAGCAGGTGGAGACGAGGAGGAGTGATCTGGCTGAGCCACAGGGTAGTGATTGACTTCTGCAGTTGGCAGTGGAAAGGAACCCAGCCATTAAAGTACACAGTTCTTGTATACTGCCTCTTATCTGACAATGTGGGAAAAGATGGCCCCTCCAGAGGCGGACACAGCCCATGTACTGGGGACTTCCCACACCCCAGTCTATGCCAGCAGCAGAACCAGCTCCCAAACCACAGTGCAGAGATATCTTTAAAACAACTTTAAAGTCTTAAAACTTAAAAACAACCTCCTATATCCCACAAAACTTTTTTAAAAGCAGACAAAACCCCCCCATAGAAAACAAAACAGAAAACCTTTTTAAAAAGGGAACAAGAAATTTAAAACCAGAAAGCAAACAACAACCCCTAAAAGCATCACAGAAATAGTTTTTAATGGTAAAAAACTTTTTAAAAAGAAGGTAAAGACTGAACCACTCCCCCCAGCAAAACCCTTTTTAAAATAGTGCAAACAAAGCAAACAGAAAACAAGCAGAAGTAACTAAAAAGAACCAGAACCCCTCACTACGTTTTTCAGTCGAAACCAAATACCCTGCAACCCTATAAAAATTAAAAACTCTACTGTATCTCTAATGTACAAACCCATCCCCCCCCCCCCCCCCCCCCCATTGCCTGGGAAACCTGCAGAATTGAAGGGAAACACACCTGGGAGCAGCAAAATTGAGGATCCCAATTTTCATTTGAATTTCTGGATTTTGAGGACCCATTTTTCTGATTTCCTAAAGAATCTAGAATAATTCCAAAACTCTAGAAATACCTGAAAATAGCCAAAACAGCCACTTGCAGTTATTTTTAGCTCAGAAGTATCCAGGTGCATACCCATATCCAGATCTCTCCCCCCCCCCCCTTCAGCTAAATGCTGGAACTTTCTTAATCCCCGTTACTAGAGAAGTGACCCCTAAAATATTGCATTTAAGATATTGTAAAGTAGTGGAGTTCCAGGTGTAGCATAGTGAAATCAGCTCACATTTATTGATTACATTGGAACGAAAAGAGATAACTTAACCGGTATGAGGCCAGCTTATATTCGTGCACACACTCACACCCAACACACCCCAATTCCCGTGATAGGTTTTATATACACGGCTCAGGTAATGATAGGTTCTCTTCAGGATCCTAACATTCCCATTGGTCCTCACTAGGATCCACGGTGGCTATTGTTCTAGACTCGAAGGTCTGTGAGTCCGGTAGACCGCATGGCCAGGCACACGCGGTCGCAGCCATCTTAATACATAACAGATATAGAGTCATTGCCACTAGTAGGACAAGGAATGCCATTCCTCTGGCAACAGAGCTATGAATGACTAATGTGTTCTGCTAATCTAAATAGATTAATTCTTTAGATAAACCTGATTAAATCATTTAGTACAGTGGTTAAGTAAATATTAAAGCAGCTTGTGCGTGGGATGAAAACACATATTTCCCTTCCTAGCAATTCAATAATCTTTTGAAGTATTGTAAATAATGATTTTAATAAAACATATGTGTATGCCAGTAGCATGCAAATGAAGAACAATGCTGTTACCTGTGGAAAAGCTAAGAGTCCAGTGGCACCTTAAAAAAGGTAAAGGTTCCCTTGCTCGAAAGCCAGTCGAATCCGACTCTAGGGTTGCGGTGCTCATCTCCGTTTCAAAGCCAAAGAGCCAGCACTGTCCGAAGACGTTTCCGTGGTCATGTGGCCGGCATGACTAGACACCAAGGCGCACGGAACGCTGTTACCTTCCCACCGAAGTGGTACCTATTTATCTACTTGCAATTTCTTGCTTTCGAACTGCTAGGTTGGCAGGAGCTGGAACTAGAGACAGGAGCTCACCCCGTCTTGCGGCACCCGGGTCTTGAACCGCTGAACTACTGACCTTCCACAGCCTGCAGTTCAGTGTCTTAACCACTTGAGCCACCGCAGCTCCTAGTGGCACCTTAGAGACTAACAACATTTGTGGCAGGGTATGAGTTTTCATGAGTCCCTGCTCAGTTCTTCAGATTCTTCACCCCGTCTCAAATTTTGCCACAAATTATGTTAGTCTTTAAGATGCTCTTTTCTACTGCTGTAGACAGACTGACATGGGTACCCATCTTGATCTATCTCTGTGGAAAGACTGGCTAGCTTAGTGAAGCACCACCATTGCTATAGAACAGGAGTCTCCAACTCTTTAAGCCTGCAGGCACTTTTGGAATTTTGAGAGGAGGTGGTGAACCCCACCCCAAAATGGCTTCCATAGGAGGCAGAGCCAAATCCCAAATAGCTTCCATAAGAAGAAGGAAAGCCTGAAGGGGGAATGAAACCACACACTGACTAAGGAAAGGCCAGGTGCTGCTGACCAGTCCTCCTGATCCTCCAGTGGAAAACCCTTTCATTTGAAAAAGGGCAGCTGATAACAAGCCCTGCCCTGTTTCAGAAGGGCACCAAGGGAAGAATTGGTGAGCGCCATGGTGCCCACAGGCCCCATTTTGGGGGACCTGGATATAGAACATATGTATTTTCCCCTTCCTCTTCGGGGGACAGTGTTCACTGTTTCATTATGCATGATCGGAATTTAGTGACGGGGCTTAGTCTGTTATGATGAACTTGGGTTATATTGGTCGCAGTCACACGTGCGAGATAACACGGGGGGAAGTGAGGCTATTCCCTCCGGAGGAAATTGACCCGCAGATGCACGATCACACAGTCCTTGGAAGCTGCGGGGGCAGCCCGCCACTGCGTGATCAGACGAACCGCGGGTGAGTCGGGGGTGGGTTTTTTGCCATTTGTTCCCGATGCGCTTAAACGGGGAATCAATGAATCACATCTCAGCACTGGGGGCTCCCTATGGAGTGTGCGATGGTGTGCATACTGCGAACGGGGGGGGGGAACGGCACGGAGTCAGGATGGCCCAATCAGACCATCCCGATGCCATGAGAGCACGCTGGCATGATCAGACAGGGGAAAGTCCATCTGTGGCCCGTATCAAACCTGTTTGCTACCGGACTTTCACCAGTGTCTTTTTATTCCTGTTCTGCAGCGGAGGAAAACGGGTCACCAACGGGTGCGGGGTGCTTCCCAGATGTTTGCGTCTGATTGCACCCTTTAAATCCTCCTGGCATTCGCGTCTATGGCAGGGCTAATTGTGTGTGTGATTGCAGCCATTGATTGTGATTGTCACAATTTGGCCTGCTTGACATCCAGAGGCAGTTTGGTGTAGTGGTTAAGAGCGCGGACTCTAATCTGAGAGAACTGGGTTTGATTTCCCACTCTTCCATGTGCAGCTGCTGGTGTGACCTTGGGTCAGTCATAAGTTTTCCACAGCTGTTCTCTCAAGGGTAGTTCTCGAGAGAGCTCTCTCAGACCCACCTACCTCACAGGATGTCTGTTGTGGGGAGGAAAAGGGTGGGGCCATTCTGAGGCTCCTTTGGGTAGTGAAGGGTGGAGTATAAATCCAATCTCCTCCTCCTCCTCCTCCTCCTCCTTCTAAAAGAGTAAGACTCTGTTGGGTAGACAGCCAGCAAAAGATTTATGTGTTTTTCTTTGTCATATTTGTCACCTAGACAATAAAACCTAGCTTTCACATCATTCCTGTCATGTTAAGTTGCTGTTTAAACACTATATTCCTGTCCTCCTTGGATGAACATGGTCAGTATTGGAATTGGTAGAAACATATGTGTGCGTGGTACATTTATGAAATATTCTGTATTCATTTATTGTGTTGTGTGAAAGTTTATTTAAACATCACAGTGGAACTCATTCATCCATGAGGATTAGGGTATGAAAACTCTTTCAGTGTTCCATTAATAAGAATGCTACAAAATAATTCTTTAAAACCATTCTCCATGTTTTTCCTGTTCATACTATCTCTTCTATAATTCACCTTTACTACAGGCTTATCTATGTGCTGTGCTTAACTATGTATAGAAATTATGTTTATAGAGCAGGATGACACTATTAATAGATATTAAATATTATGAATAGCTCCTAAATATAATCATTTATCAGGCAACTAGTCAAGTAACAAGTCTAATTACAATTTCAGTCAGTCATTGGTTATATTTTTCACTAAACTTGTTTCTTTTTAGAGAGCCATTGAAGGTAATACTAAGGCACACAGCAAATGCCATAGCAACTTGTAATTACAACTTCTAATGGTTGTCTTGCTAGATATCCCTTCCCTTCGTGTTATTTTTACTTGGTTTTGTTTTTTTCAGAGTTTCTTTGAAGGACAGTCTGCACCATGGGACTCAGCTAAAAAAGATGAGAACCGAATGAAGAATAGATATGGGAATATCATTGCATGTAAGTGTTGACAGTATAATTGTACTACTGTGTAAATTCCTTTTAGTAACTGACAAGACTGCCCACCAATATCCTGATCTGTGGATGTCTGGAGTAAAAACAGAGTCCTGACTGCTGTAATAAATAGTAAGGGAGAAATAAACATTGTAATATTCCAAAGACTTTAATAAAATATAGTCCTTCTACTTATGAAGTCTAGGATCCTGATGCACTTGTACAAAATGACTTGTTCTGAAAAGATTACAGTTGAAACATGGAAGAAGTTAAATGTTTATACCTACAAACATCTAATTTACTATGAGAGGGAGTAAAGAGGATAAGCTAGGGCAAGCTAGGGTCCTACTTAGGTAATTAATTGTGGACTATCTTTCAGTAAGGTTGGATCACTCTGTCTCATTAAGTGTGAAGTCTTGCTGTTGGAACAAGACTCCTCATAGCAGAAGGGGAGTGGTAGGATCCAACCCTTGGCTTTTAGTTGTGTTGGATTATGCCCATTGTCTCTAGAGCTCTCTGCAAATGTCAGGTGTGAAGCTAATATGTACTTGTAAACAGTGTTCCCTCTAAGCTGAGTTAGTGTGAGCTAGCTCACAGTTCTTTAGCCTCTGGCTCACACATTTTTGTCTTAGCTCAGTAAGGATGGCTTAAGAGCAAACTAATTTATGCAGTACCCAAATCACTTGCTCACAACTTCAATGCCAGTAGCTCATAAAGTAGAATTTTTGCTCACAAGACTCCACAGCTTAGAGGGAACATTGCTAAACATACAGTCTTGCCAGAGAAAGTATATAGGCTCTAGCTCAGGGGGTTGCAACCTTTGGCCCCAGAGACAAATGTGGGTCAGTACAGAACCAAGTATGGCTCTAAATGAAATCTTTAAGTAAAGGTAAATTAGAGGATAGGTGGGATGCTAGAATAAACCAGTATGTAAAGGGAATGGTAGGGGGAAAATTTATGAGGTTAACAGTGCTGTCCTAAGAACACTTTCCTGTGAATAGACCTAAGTACAATTCTGAGTAGACCTGTTTAGGATTGTTCTGTAAGGGGCTTCTTAAAAATACGGAGAAAGGGAAATGACAGAGGTGAGCATATGCCAGTAATCCAAGTGTGAACCATGCAGAGTTATATCAGTGCACTGAAACAATTGTGCGGGGTGCACCTATGTACTGGGGCAAATTCCTTGGGGAATTCCTAGAGCGTCACTCAGTGTGGTGATGTCACTTCTGGATCTCATTACACAATGCCATCTCACTTTTTGCTTCTGCTGCTGCACAGGGGTGAACCTGAGATGATAGATGTCAGAAGGTAAAAGGCATGCATCTTCTGAAACCAATACCTTTCAAAGTGTATCAACAACATGCATTTGAATGCTGTAGCACACTGGTAATAAAAAAAAGTAATTCAGCATTCGTCACAAATGTGTGTATGCATACATGCATACAAACAGAAGTCCTGAGATGGTTATGTCACAAACTAGAAAAAGCACGTACGTAATTCTCAAAGCATACATGCTCAGCACTGTGATCAATGTAAAAATAGTTTTGATATCAAAATAGAGGACATTTCCCCTAAGTATATCCCACTGATAGTGAACTTGAAAGAAGAATCTTTAAAAGTTATTAAGAAAATTGTTAACAGGAGGCATGAAGGCTGCTGTAAGGGGAAAAACCTTAAACCAACAGAATCAGCCCTCAGGCTATTAAGATCAACTCAGTGTGTTAGAGGAAAGACGTGGCTGGAACATGAGTTCTTGATTAATACATTACAATCAGTTGCGTGCTTGTGGATTTAACACTTGTCTGAAGAGTCTCCTAGCATAAACAGTGTAATGTGCAATAGGAGGAACATGCCTAATATCACTGCAGCAAGTTACATGAACAGAAGAGCACTACTGTCATGGTATTAATGACAGTAATGAAAGTAGTTAGTGATGCTTGCAATTGGTCAAAAAGAAGTAACCTGGAATTGATAGGAATTTTTGGCAACTTTTCTTTCAACCGGTGCCTTTCCAGACACAATGTTCTCAAGTCTTTAAACTTGTAATTGACATTCAGTTGCTTCAGACCAAAGTGTGATGAGAAAGTGTCACAGGGATTGGAGAACTGGTTCCAGAACAGGTATGCACAACAAAACCCTCCTTAGTGAACACCGTCTTTCAGTCATATGTTGTACTCTTATGATGCTTGATAACCCTTCTCTTTTGCTGTCCCAAATAGGCAGCCAAAACCATAAGAGTTTGTTGAGGGCATTATTATTAATAATTATTTTTGTTATTAAAACATACCCCACTTCCCTTGTCATTTACATTTGACTTAATCAAGACATAGCAACAGGAAATCCATGAATGAATGTCCCCACTCTCTTGTAAAATTTAAAATACAGGCATCCGTATAGTACCAGTGTTTTCTCCTCTACAGACAATTCAGGTAATGAAAAAAGGTTAAATTTCCCTTCCCCAGTCCAAAGCCATACTGCTGACCTGAATCAGGGCCTTACACGCATGCAATTTAAAGGTTCTAAAACAACAGAAGATCTGCTCATGTATCACCTTGTTGGAGATTATGTCCAAGAGTCAGCCCATAAATAGACTAAGGTCCATATTTATTTATTATTTAAAAACCATCTCTAGATCCGGCCAAATAGACGAATTACCGGCCAGTCTCCAACTTGCCCTACCTAGGTAAGTTAATAGAGAGGACAGTGGCGATGCAGCTTCAGAGCTTTTTGGATGACGCTTCCATCCTAGATCCCTTCCAGTCCGGCTTTCACCCGGGTCACGGGATGGAGACAGCTCTGGTCACCCTCACAGATGATCTCTGGAGGCATCTGGATCAAGGCAGAGTGGCGGTACTGTTGTTGTTGGACCTGTCGGCTGCATTCGACACGGTCGACCATCAGCTACTGGCCAACTGCATCGCCTGCGTTGGAATTCAGGGGCTTGCCTTGCAATGGTTCGTCTCCTTCCTCCAAGGCCGGGGACAAAGGTTGGTTTCCCAATGGCACCCACTTGATTGTGGAGTGCCTCAGGGGGCGGTGCTGTCCCCAATATAGTTTAACATCCACATGTACCCCCTTGCCCAGATTGCATGGAGACATAGGGTGGGGTGTCAGTATACTGATGACACCCAGCTCTATCTGTTGTTGGGTGGCCAGTCCAACTCCAAACCAGAAGATCTTGACCAGGCGTTACAAGATGTAGCTGGTTGGCTTAGGCTGAGCCAGTTGAAACTGAACCCACAGAGGTTCTGTGCCTGAATCGGAGTGGATCAAGGGTAGGGATCCCACTCCGGCCTCCGATGGGGCTTCGTTGGTGCCAGCGCCAGAGGTTAGGAGATTGGGAGTGCTCCTGGATGCCTCCTTGCTCCAAACCAGAAGATCTTGACCAGGCGTTACAAGATGTAGCTGGTTGGCTTAGGCTGAGCCAGTTGAAACTGAACCCATTGAAGACGGAGGTCCTGTGCCTGAATCGGAGTGGCTCAAGGATAGGGATCCCACTCCCAGCCTTCAGTGGGGCTCCGTTGGTGCCAGCGCCGGAGGTTAGGAGCTTGGGAGTGCTCCTTGATGCCTTCTTGACAATGGAGGCCCAGGTAGCAGCAACTGCCAAGTCGGCCTTTTATAATTTTCGGCTGATTAGGCAGCTGGTTCCCTTCCTTGAACGCAATGCCCTGGCAAAAGTGATCCATGCGATGGTCACCTCGAGGTTGGACTACTGTAATGCTCTCTACATGGGGCTGCCCTTATTGCAAATCCGGAAGCTGCAACTGGTGCAAAATGCTGCAGCCAGGCTGTTGATGGGCCTCCCACTAGGGGAGCACATTCAGCCTCTGCTGAAGGCATTGCACTGGCTACTGATAGCATACCAAGCTTGCTTTAAGGTGCTGGTTCTTACCTTTAAAGCCCTTTATGGTCAGGGACCTACATTCCTGAGGGACTGCTTTTCCCCACATATTCCCCAGAGAGCACTGCGATCAGGGTCTCAACATCAACCCACCCTTCCCGGGCCAAAGGATGCCAGGCTAGCTACAACCAGGGCCAGGGCTTTCTCGGTGGCAGCTCCACTCTGGTGGAATGAGCTCCCAGAGGAGATCAGGGCCTTGCGGAACCTTATGCAGTTCCGCAGGGCCTGCAAGATGGAGCTCTTCCGCCAGGCGTTCAATTAGGAGCCGCCCCGGGGGAGAATGCCCTGGCCCTTGAAATTCTTAAAGCAGCCTGAGCCATCCATACAACATTAGATCGGAGTTTTAGGACTGTTATTTTATTTATTGTTAGTTTTATATTGTTGTAAGCTGCCCTGAGCCGGCCATGGCTGGGAGGGTGGGGGTATAAATATAATTAATTAATTAATTAACTTTTTGACTGACATTATTTTTATTATTTATAGTCTCCCTTTCTTACTTGGACTCGAGGCAGGTTAAACAATGTGAGTCAATAGAATCAGTGGATGGGACATTCAGTAAACACTGCAATAGTATTAGATTTGCAGAACCAACCAGAGTTCTAAAAACAGAACTGAAGCAAAGCATAAGTATTAACATGACACATTAAATGATGCAAATTCCATAGTAGGATCCTAGATTCAGCAAGCCATACACAGTAGTATAGACCAGTCCCTAATAATTTCTCCAAGTAATTGTATGAATCATTTAGTACAGTGCAATTCTATTGCCATGTAGAAAAGCCCTCTGGAAAAATTCAGTTTTTCATCATTTGCAGAAAGCCAGAAGAGTGGGAGCCCTCGTGACCTCCTCAGGCAGGCTGTTCCATAAGGTGGGGGCCACAACAAAGAAGGCACATCTACAGGCAGTTGTTGATTGTGCCCATTTGCAGGTGGGCACCTGCAGAAGACCCTGATCCAATGTGCAAAGCTGTTGGCGAACATAGGGGGAGAGGTGGACTTGCAGATATCAGGGTCAAGACCAGGAAGAGCTTTGTATGTGATAGCTAATACTTAAATTGAGCTCAGTAACTGATGGAACTATGGTGCTGTAGAAGACTCTTGAGAG